TAAGAATCCGCCTGCCAGTGCAGGGGACACGGGTTCGAGCCCTGGTCCGGGAAAATCCCACATACCATGGAGCAGCTAAGCCCCTGCGCCACAACTACTGAGCCTGCGAGCCACAGCTACTGAGCCTGCAAGCCACAGCTACTCAGCCCGCGTGCCACAGCTTCTGAAGCTCACGTGCCTAGAGCCCGTGCTGCACAGTAAGAGAAGCCACTGCAATGAGAAGCACACGCACAGCAACAAAGGGTAACCCCCACTTGCCGCAACAAGAGAAGACATGCGCACAGCAACAAAGACACAATGCAGCCAAAAATTAATTAATTATTTTTTTTAAAAAAACCTACCTCAGGACACCGTAATGATCTTTCTGATATGAAAAACAAACACAACTTGCATACACACTGAATCTTTTTTTTTTTCTGACCACCAGGCGGTCTCCTTTTACTTTAGATTTCTGTACATACATAGACAGGTAGTATCTAAACTTTTATGTGCATGGTAAATATACATGTGTCATTCCTGTTTTCCATTATTAGTGTTGTGGATATTTTCATGTTTTTCATTTTTAATCTTTTCTATTAAGCAAAGAAAATTCTGTATCCTCAGCTCACACTCATTTCAAAGCCTGAAACAAAATCCATGAAAAGTTGGTCTCAGAGTCACAGTCACACTTCAGTGAGTTAAGTGACATCAAAAATCACAAGGGCTCCACTGTCACACACTGATATAATTTTGGCGGCTGCACCTTAGTTGGTTTTGTTTTGTTACTTTTTCAACATCAGTAAAAATCACATTTTTTCCAAGAATGGACTGGGACCAATGTCAATATGTAAGACAGGAATTTTTCTGAAGAAAATGAAAATTATCAGCTTTACACTAGAAATACTTTTCAATATTGTTAGACAAATACATTAATATTCTTTTCATCTCTTTTCAAATGAATTAGGACACCAAAAGGTGAATAAAAATTGGGAAAGCACCCACAAACATTTGTTTAAATCTCTCTTATTCATTTTTGATTACGTAAATTAATCCTATTAAAGTGGTACTATGAAAAGGTATTTTACTATCCCTGTGGAATTCAATAAGCACATCCATTTGCTAGGGCTGCCATAACAAAGTACCACAGACTTGGGCGGCTTAAACAGGAATTTATCGTCTCGTAATTCTGGAGGCTGGAAATTCAAGATCAAGGTGCTGGCAGGGTTAGCTGCTCTCTCCTCGGCTTATAGATGGAGATGACCATCTTCTCCCTACGTCCTCACATGGTATTTCCTCTACACATGTCTGTGTAACTTATCTCCTCTTCTTATAATGACACCAGTCATATTGAATTAGGACCCCCCTCCCAATGACCTCATTTTAACTTAATTACCTCTTTAAAGACCCTATCTCAAACAAGTCACAGTCTGAGGTACTGGGCGTTAGAACAACATAGGAATTTGGGCTGCGGGAGAGAGTACAAAGTTTAACCACTGTTTGTTTTTGACAAATGGCCCAAGGGAACAAGTTATTTGCATTGGGCAAACTCTGTCCCAAGTCAGAAAGAGACAAGCCTTGTAAATGGGATTTTCTAGGGAACTGCTAGAAACTTCAAATGATGACAATTCTGAGCATGAGGCTTTGAAAGAGCTCCAGTCCTGTTCTGACCCCTCCAGTAGTTGCTAGACTGCTCTTTTGCACCATGATTGCAGGCTGTTGATTTTTAAGGCTAACGTAAAGCTGAGCAGGGGGAAAGTTAAAATTTCCCAAAGCTCAGGGTTCTTACTGCGATTCAGCCATTTTTCTTGAGCAAACACTCCTGGAGTTCATTTACAGAGTTCTGAAAGAGTTTGCTTTGTCAGTTTCTGCCAGCGTTCTCATTGCTTTCATGGAGGAGAGGGCTTTCAGAGGTCCTTTCTCCAGCAGTCCCAATGGCAACCTCTTGGCTGCATCCTGTGTTGTTTCTTCATACCTGTGTCCCAGGTTTCTAATTCTCTCTTCAGTCAATTCCAATTGGATGTTAAACCTCCATATAGATTTTAATTTTAATAATTGTACTTTTAATTTGGCCATTTACATAGCCAGAAATCAAAATCTAGGTGAATTTTATTTTATTTGCCTGTCTCTGTTTTCTAGTCATGTCACAATAAACATATGCTTCCTCAATGGGAAGAAAAATTTGAAAGTTATTTTATCACCTTTTCCTTTTGACTTCCTGTTTGTGTCTCACTCTGAGCCCACAGAACCCTGTCATCACCTGTCTTCCCCCATCACTCCCAAACACAGATAAAGGGTTGGTAACTCAGAAGACAAACGTTGAGAAATAAAAGCAAGATGCTGTTGTTCTTTGCTTTACAATGCCCAGTAGCCCTGCTGTACTTGTTTCAGAGGCGTGGGGGTGGGCAGACCAAATAATTGGGTAGTCAGGGAAACATTTAAGAAGGGTAGCATTCAGTTTTGAGGAGAGGAAGAGCAGAATGTGGATGAGGGCTGTATGGGCTCAGACTCTGCCAGCTGCAGTGGGTCAGTCACTTCAGTCCCTGGGCCCCAACTTTCTTCTTCTAGCTACGAGGAACAGGTGCACTGCTGTGGGGATATTTTGTAGATCTGAACCCTTCTGTGTAAAACCTACATGTGTCCTGTTCTCCTTACCACAGCTGCATTCAGCATAAAGCAATTGCCTAATATATCTTATAGGCTGTCCTAAGGAATAATATACTGACTGACTGGCTGGCTGCTTCCCTGGATGAATGAACACAGGGCTGCAGTAGGGCTATGGTGAGTCCTACGTGGTTTTACCTTTGTGGGCCCTTTATTCCATCTAAAAATTTTCTAATTATATTTTATATAATTATATAATATAATATAAAGTATATAATCTACCTTATGTAATATGTAATATACTTTATATAAAGATGAATATTTTCATGGGCCCCTAAAAGCACTGTGGGCCCTTGGTACTGGACCTACTGAGCTAATGGAAAGTCAGCCCTGAATGAATGGCTGAATGAACACTTCCACTTCCTGAGAAGTTTCATAAGAGAATTCTTCGACCTCAGAAAAAAAATGCACCAATGGCATTCCCCGTATTTTACACCAAGCCTGTTGCCTAGTTTCCTTTTCTAAGGAGATGGGTGGGATTTCCCTTGTTCTGCCTTTTCACATTTAAAAGGAAGCTATCCCCGACTCCTGGGCTGCCAGTAGCTCATATGGCATTTTTGTGCAAATTAGAAAAAGTCTTCTTGTCTATAAGCAGGAAGGGTGGGTGAGATGGGGGGCGTCTTTAAAGTATTATATTATCACACTATCTGAACAACCATCTCCACTGGTCCTGGGGAAAGTACAAATTCAGATCAGCATCCCTTCCAACCTCATTTGGGGGACCACAGTAGCTGCCTCTGTGTCACGGCAATGGGAGGGTAACACAAATCCATGGCCTCCAGCTGAAAGGCAGCATGTGTTTAGTTTAAAATGTCAAATTTCATTCTAAGTCTGTGGCCAAAACCAAGGCTCAAATCCCAGCAGGGCTCAGGCAAAACCTCTAAAAGCAGTGTGAGACCAGAGTCATGACCTCTGATGATCCTGGAGTAAAAAGTGGACAAGGCACAACCACATGAGTGTGCACCTGTGTGCATGTGCACACATGCTTTCCTGTGTGTGTGCCTGACCTTGCATGCAAGTGCCTGCAGGTGCCTGGTGTGAGCCAGAACATTCACGTTGCTCCCTGGGATTCCATGCGGAAGCCTGGGATCTCCACCACATGCCCTCCTGTGTGGTACAACAAGAAAGACACCTCCTTGTAGTTGTGACACTGTTACCAAGTCCAAACTTGTACTGCTCGCCTCACAGCGGGCCAGTAAATCAAGAGATGAGTCGTTGAGGCAAGAAATAGCAACTTTATTCGAAAGTCAGCAGATGGAGAAGATGGTGGACTAGTGTCCCAAAGAACCATCTTACCTGAGTTAGAATTCAGGCTTCTTTTATACTAAAAGGGGAGGGGGTGTGGCTGGTTGTTGCAGACTTCTTGGTGTCAGAATCCTTTGTTCTTGCAGCTGTCTATGTAGGTCAGGTCATGATGCCCCTGTAAACCTCCAACAAGACAAATGTTATCCTCTGTTCTGCAACTTTTTATCTCTATATGAATGGGAAAGTGTTATACCTTAAAGGTCAGAGTTTTGAGAATGGGCTATCCTGTATATTTCAGGCTATAGGCAACATTCTTAACTTGTAGCAAAAGCAATAGAATACAAGGTTAAAGTAAAAGAAGCAGATTTAATATGGAGTCAGATTCTGTTCTTCCCTATTATAGCAGCCTATGTGGGTCACAGTCTCAACACCACATGCAGCAGTCCTGCCTGTCTCCCTGAGTCCCCGGGGCAATGCAAAGCCCACAGACGCACACACTAAAGCCTCCGTTCTCCTCTCTGCAGGGATGACGTGCCAAGCTCGAAGTTCCTACATCACTAGTGAGATCCTCTGGGGGTACCGGTTCACCCCTGTCCTGACGCTGGAGGACGGGTTCTACGAAGTCGACTACAACAGCTTCCACGAGACCTATGAGACCAGCACCCCAGCTCTCAGTGCCAAAGAGCTGGCCGAGTTAGCCAGCAGGGCTGAGCTGCCCCTGAGCTGGTCCGTCTCCAGCAAACTCAACCAACACGCAGAACTGGAGACTGAGGAGGAAGAAAAGAACCCTGAGGAACAGACGGAGAGGAATGGTGATGTGGCGAATCTAGAGAACGAATCCAAAGTTTAGTCCCCTGGCTGGGCCACCCCTTCTCCTCTCCGCCCACAACCTTCCCTTGTCTCTCATTCTCTTTCTTTTCTGTCTCTCTTACTTTGTTCTTTCCTTATATTGAAGTTTGGCATTACCAGAAATCAAATCTTCAAGGTGTAAAATATCTACCTGCCCTCTCAGTTATTCAGATTGACAAGGCAGATTCAGATTGGGTTAAGGTGTCATGTGCCCTCATTTGTGACCCAAGCCTGGTCTCCTCCCTGAATACGACACATCCAAGTCCTAGAGATTTCTGCTACTTACCTGCATGTGTTGTACAATACCAGATCACTCAAAAGAGTGCGTCAAAGAGTTTACCTGGGATATGATGAGGAAGGTCTCTGGTGCCTATTCATTCATGCAGTGAGACATAGAGTCGAGCCCTCAGTTTTATACATCTCAATAAATTTCATCTACAGGGCGAGGTGCTTGCCCTCTGCGGGCATTGCATTTATAGGACCCAGGTGAGGTAACGACAAAATACTGTACATATATATGCCTTATGTAATTATTTTCTTTTGCAGTTAGTAATAAAACCCAGCATGTACAAAAGTACTGTAGAACAAAACTTCTAAATAATGTACATAGATGTAAAATTAATGTAGGTTTAGATAAATAACTTTAGAAATAAGATTAAAAGAAAAAAAAATTCCGAATGTACAGTAGGCATTTCTGTTCTGATGTCCTGTTTTCTGGATTTCTTTGGTCCCATTGACCGCTGGCCCTTTAGTGCATGGCCTTTGCTCCGTGTCCCAGACTGGCAGCCGTTTGGGTACCTCACTGTTCCCTTTAATTGAATCTAATAAGCCATAGGTCTGGGAGAAGTTTGGAGGTTCAGTAGATGGCAAAACACACCACCAGTATGCTGATATACTGTGAAATGTTTACAAAACTGAGGTCTCTTTTTTAAGTAACAAGACCTCACTGACTAGCCTGGGGCAGAATTTCAGGAGGAGGACATGCTCTGGCATGTCACCAATGATGTGTGTTTTTTGGTTTTGTTTTGTTTTTGTTTTCTGCCACACCTCGCGGCTTATAGGATCTTAGTTCCCTGACCAGGGATCAAACCTAGGGCCCCAGCAGTGAGAGTGCCAACTCCTAACCACTGGACCACCAGGGAATTCCCACCAATGACGGGAATTATGTGTTTATGCTTTTCAAGTTAGCTCTCACCCTTTGTAGTACCACAGTTTGAGAAACTTTTCTTCTACAAAACCATTGACTCTCCAACTATTTTCACTCTATAATCACAGTTAAAAAATAAGACATGTTAAATTAGTAAAAGGTGGTTTGGGTCTAAAGTCATGAAATTCATAATGGCATGTAATGGGCGAAGTATATTGTAGTCACTGATCTCACACACCTTGACTCCATCTGGCACTCTTCCTGTACCTGTGGGGCTTATCCATCAGCATTCCTTGCATTGGTATTTATTAGTAGTAGTAGTAGTAGTTTATTATTATGAAATTTCCAGAGTTCAATATTTAAAGATTAGATCAACAATCTTGGTGACTGTCTAAGAAATCTTTCTAGAGTATGCCACAGGTTAGAAATCAAATCCAAAGTGTCTCCCAATCAAAGAAAACAAAAAACTACAGCCTTAATTCATTTTAATCTGCAAAGATAAAAAGAAAGAAAGAAGAAAGAAAGAAAGAAAGAAAGAAAGAAAGAAAGAAGGAAAGAAAGGAAGGAAGGAAGGAAGGAAGGAGAGGAGAGGAGGAGGGAAGGAAGGAATAATATTTTGTACTGAAAATCTAATTTTCAAAATGAAAAAATTTTCAAATGAAAAAATAAGAAAAGGAAGAGAATCTTAGACAAAACCTCAAGGGCAGGTGGAGATTTTGCACTGAAACAGATCTTTCACATTAAGTTGGCATTTATAAACTGTTTGTTCCCTAACATAATCATCCATCATAAATATTCATTGACTGGATCCAAGTTCATTTTCAACTTCTACAGCTGTGCTCAGTTTGAGGCTTTGCACCATGGAGGTCAAAGAGCTCAAACTAGCTGTCCCTCCCTGCTGCCCTTGCCTTCCCTGATCAGATATCACAGGCCTTCACACTGTAATTTGGGGACCCTGTCTACTAAAAAGCATGTTCCAGAGATAAGGAAAGTAACTCCTCAATTTGACATGGGGGGTGGGTCTCTCTTCTCCCACTTCTGACACCTTGTATCAAGACAACTGCTTCTTGGCACTGACGGTATGGAAAACAAAACTGTTGGCCATAACTCTTTCCTCTTGCCAACATTTCACTTTTCGCATTAAATATTTGTTGAATCATTTATTCATTCCACACACTCCAAAGAGGAGGTTGTAGTTGAGGAGGAGGAGGGAGCCCCCTACACTTCTTGCCAGGCTGTGGGGAGGTACTGTGGCCTTACCTCAGTGTAGCCTTAGAAAGGGCCCTCTTGCCTTGGGGGCACTATCCCTGCAGCATCACCAGAGTTGCAGGGCCAGGCATGGTAGCACAAAGCAAGATCAGCTGGGGCTGCAAAAAGTCTGCTAATTTAGGTCCTAAAGACTTAATGGGCCTTTTACAATCCATTACTAAGGCTTAAAGGATAACACACACCCTGTTGTCTGGTTGGAAGAGTAGTTGGGGGCCCTTGAGCACAACTGAATGAAGAGCTTTGACAACCCTTTGGTCAGACACACACGTCAGTTCTGTGTCTGTGACAGGGCACCCAGGTGTGAGATCTTTCCCTGTTTCTCACTGTCTTTGGTGTCAATGTGGTTGGAGATGGAACATGAACCAAATCTCATTTTTGTAATGTGAGCCTCTGAATCTTTAAATGAGGATGCTCCAGAAGAACCTTTTATTAGAATGTCCTTATCAAACATGTCTATTTTTCTACAATTATTGATAACACAGTTTAACAGTGTATTTTGTGTCAACTGTTAAAATTTGGAACTGAAAAAAGCTCATTAAGACTGAATTTTCTAAGTAGCAAGTATTGAATGGTGTTTTTCATTAACAGTTCAGCAAAGATGACCCTACAGTTTCTACCCATTCTCTTCCATCATATCCAGGCTCCAATCACTCAGTCACTTTGTTAGCAAATCCAGAGCTATGGAAATAAATAAGCCTATTTTAATGCACCAATACTCATAATGAATGAGGATCACACTCAACTTGATATTTTGGTCTGTTTGATGGTGTATTTGAGTCCCTTTCCCATAAAAGCATGGCGGTATCCATTAGCCAGATAAGAACTTTGGGCTAAAGGGTTACAGTTTGCCACAGTTGACTCCAGTTTGGAGGAAAGGGCAGACTCAGCTGGGAGCATGACCTCCCCAAGTGCTGACAAGACCCTCAGATTGTCATTTCCACCCACCGCAACATGCTTTCCAACTGGAAGAGCACCTATTTATTTATGTCAGCTTTATGTAACTGATAAAATTGTTTATGTCCTTGGATGTCCCATGGGCAAATTATACTCTTTTGGATGAACACCTTTGCAATCACTGTAATGTCAGGTCATTACTTTTCCATCCCTTCAAAATATGGCCTTTTAGCCTGGTTGGTCCAATACATAGACACTCTGTCCAGGAGAAGGAAACCTCTCTTTCCCCACTCCCTTCCTCCATCTGTCCCTCTCTTTTGCTCTTTCTCTAGTTCTCCAGTTCCAGTTCCATTGATTTAGTTCAATATCTTATGTTCCCTAACAGAAATCCAGCTACTGTTTCTAAAAAGGTCAATCTATTTCTTAAGCACAATTTTCTCTTGCTGGTTTAACCAAACTAGGGCTCTGTAATGTCTGTTTTTCATTATACTCTAATTTAAAAATTATTTATGACTTCATTTAAAAGCCTAAGTTTTGAAGTCTCCAAGCAACATTCTTATGTTTTCCCTTGCTACATTTTCTTACATTTCAGGTTTCTTACTTTTTCGCCTTTGCTCTTTTATTTAGATTGAAGCCAGTATCTTTGGGATGTTCAGAAACTGTTTATAAATATGGGAGCTGGTGGACAGAGAAAGAGACTCTAAAAATTCCATTAGAAAACTACTTTAACTCAGCAAAATAATGTGAAATCATTTGCTTAGCTAAGTGATACAAGATTTAATATATATATATATGTATATATATATGTGTGTATATATATATATATATATATATATATATATATATATATATATATACATAGTTGATAACATACTACCATACCACTCTTTACTATGGTATATTTGACCAATGCTAACTTAACGTTACTTTAATAAATCCACCCACTCTCCCTTACAGACCAAGCTACAGGGACCATGAGTTCAGAGGACCAAGTCATAACATTTTTTCCAGCCACAGCAGTGTCTTAAAATGCTTTTCCCCGTAACTATCAAAGTTCAACGTGATAAAATGGCCTTTGTTTTATTTGTTTAGCTTTAATATTACTTATTTTTGGAATTGGAGACACATTATATGCACACGATTTAAGAGGTACAAAAGTAGAAAATCTCTCTTCAATCCCTATTCCTCAAGGATGTGCCAGATGTTGGCTGCTCTGAAGGCAATAAAGTAACCAATTTCTTGGGTAGCCTTCTGGAAATAGTCTTTGTAAGCACAAGTTAATATGTGTGGGTATGTGTGCAGGTGTATATAAATATACATGTATATTTATATGTCACAAATAATAACGTAAGATTTACACCTTTACTGATTTTGTGTAAAATCCCAAAAGTGCACAATATTGTAACATGATACTAACATGAACATGATAAAGAAAAGGAAAAAATTGAGGTTGAAAATTAGAAAAACATTCTTATATATATATATATATATATATATATATATATATATTCATAGTCATTTCCAAAACAGCTTGCCAAGGGTCTGACTACTTTACAGTCTTTCTTTCCTTTACTTGGGTGATACTCTATGTGATTCAGAAGTGTCATAATGGTAGTTGAAGATTAAATGTCCTACATAGATGGTAAACATTATCTTCTATGGTTTCATTTCAATGGATGGCTATAAAGTCAAAAAACATAGGCAACATATACATGATAGATGATTCATTGATATTGCATTACAATATAATCAACTAATAATACCTTGTTTCTAGACTCTATGGCCACCCTACATTTAAGAAAATGTTATCCTTTAATTTAAAATTGAGTAAAGCATACCTCTTCCTAATATGTCTGCCCGTAACGTCTTGGAGAGCTTTTGATGTAGAATGTCATCTAGCAGTCAAAGCTCTGTCAGTCTACTATTTGACTTTGACAAAGCACAGTATGAACAATAATAACCAAACAATATTACACCCTACGTTGTGTGGTGTTTTGGAGCATTCAGAGTACTTGCACAAGTTTTCTTATTTAATTCTAATCCACCATCAGAGCTTGAGTATTATAATTTACGTTTTATATACGGAAAACTAGGGTTTGGGCAAACTGAGTAACTTCCCCAAGGCTACAAGGCCAGTCAATCACAGATCCTGGTCTCAAATCCAGGTGCTGAGGCTAAAACCATGGGCTCTTTTTACTACAAAAAGGGTCAGCAAACCAAATCTGCTCACAGAATCTGGCCCACTGCCTGTTTTTGCACCACTTGTGAGCTAAGACTGATCTTACATTTTTAAATGGCTGGGAAAAAGAAAAAAAAAGAAACAAGAGAAGGATACTTGGTGACAT